TGTGCAACCATACTAGAGGTACACCAAGGATTATACTCAAATTATACGCTAAAAGTATGCACCAATATTTTAATAGTTTATATTGATACAAAATGTTAATGCGATCGAAAAATTCTGCAGTAAAATTTTGTGTTAGTGTGAAACACAAAATAAAAATTTGATAGGAAAAACTATGAAAAATTCGTACACACACCGTAACAAAAAGTGCGCATAGGGGGTCACTTTGACCACGGGTCAGGCAGGGTCGGTCCTAATATATTTAGAGACCACTTGTTGAAACAAAAATAGACACTAAGGGAGTGTTTGTTGGTATTTATTGGCTTATTATTGATAAGTAACTTTTAACTTATGAGTTGCTTATAAGTTAAATATTTTTTCATAAAAGTAAAAAATTTTAAATTATAAATAAGTAATTTATAAATATTCATAAATAGTGAGGGATAGTTCTATGCACAATTTGGTTAAAAAGGAAAAAACAAAAAAACTAGCTTAAAAATAAGTAGTTAAGACCTACGTGTTGTTTCTGATTTATAAGTAGTGTATATTTAAGCTTTAAGCACGTATAAATATGTTATTAGCTAACTTATAAGTTCATAATTGAGCTTATAAGCACAGAGAAACATTTACTGAATACATATGGAGTACTTTGATAATCCATTCCACAAATGAAATAGTCCATCTTTTTCATAGAGCTCGTCTGAATTTTTTAATTAAAGTGGATAAATTTTTATCATTAATTATACTTTGTTTGTTTTTTGCATATTAATACTATAAAATAAAATTCTTGACAAGAACACACCTAATTTAATTACATGGAAAATCATAATATTAAAATAAAATACTCCATATTAATTTAAAGAAAATACGGAGTTATGCTTTTGTTGATTAAGAACATTTATTGTCCAATAATGATCTAATCTTGATATTACACATATACTCCTCTGTCCCAAAATGTATGTCATATTATGCAAAATGAAGATAAATTTGAAGTTTTTAAACTTATTTTATTTAAAGATTAGTGATGGGTATAGTCCACCCAGGACCCGGTCCGGAACCAGGTACACAGAAAGTAACTGGTCAAGTTGCAAACATATCAAGATGGGAGATTTGAACTAAAATAGAGTACCGGTCGAGTTTGGAAAAGTATACCGGTGTAGTCTTTGGACTCGCCGGTCAGAGTACGTGACTTCGAGCTGGTGGTGTTCTGCCCCTTCAGAACGAAGGAGATAAACCTAGTGGGTAGGTTACTATGGTGCAAAAGTGTCGGCACGAATAACTCCAAAATCAGTTGGACAGTAGTGAACGATTTCAACAAAAGATAGAAGAAATATTTCTCTAAACCTCAGTTGGATGCTACGCGCCGAAGGAGAAGTCATCAACACAAGATGACAGAAGGGATGAGACAAAATGCTACGAGACAAAAGGGAATCCACCTCGCTCCACCTGAGAACGAGGGTCGATGTGGACGCGCGGCGCTCTGTCTCCTTCATTTCTATATAAATACCTGTGTAATTCTCAAATGAAGGGATCCGAATTTCATCTCTCTAATATTCGTATTGTAATAACTCCCGACACTTTTTTGCATATTTAATAACAATTAGACTACAGAATTTTCCACCGGCAGTCCTACTTGTCACTCTTGTTTCTACACTTCTTTACTTTCTAAACTCAGTAAATTATTCTAGACCTGGTCTTGTACAATTACCTTGATGGTTAATTTACATTGCACCATCAATTAGTATAGAAATAAAAATAAAATCTACATATTTTAAAATTACATAACGAAAATTCAAAATAAATTGTGACAAGAATATTTTATTTTTTCAAAAAATATTTAAAAACATACACATAAACAAAAAATCTCATGATTTTGAAAGGTTAATTGTGCCATTATTTTTGGGATGTTTTTGGGATGAAAGAGTATTATCTAGCAATAATGATCCATTCTCAAGGGAATAGGGAGAACTAAACAAATTAATCCGGTGAGGGAAAAGGTTATGGTTGAAACATTTTGGATGAGTTCCCATTTTATTATTTTACTTGTAGAGTTAATTCTTAATATTACTAAAACCAAATCACAATATCTACAAATAAAAGAAAAGCATTTAACATCTTTTTCCATGATAAATGAAAAAAATAAGAATAAGAATAGTTTAACGACTAGAACCGACCAAGAATCAAAGGCCGAGGTCGTCTAAGTACACCACGACCTCTACCATATATCTTGTACTAAACATAAGACATCTGCAAATATAAGCCATAGGCTCCATTCCTTTGTCATTAATATGCAATTAAAATTCAGTTTATCTTCTCTCATTGATCGTCTAACCGGATGTGAGAAGATCCTCGGAAATGAGACTCATCGTGTAAGGTGGGTGAATGTCAGGGACGACGTGACACAATTGGTTCGACAAGAGGTGTCAAAGAAGATAACACTTGGAATCAATTAGTGTCAACTACACTGGAATGTAGTTATAATAAACATATAGAAGAGTCTTTGTAATATCTAGAGGTAAACAACACTCTTTGCCAGCTAACCAGTGACTAAAACTCAATTTATTTTTCTGCGACTATCTAAATCAGTTTTAAAAGAGACAATCAAAAAATGAAGCTCCTCTTTTTATACTTCCTTTCTCCCAAATTATTTGCAACGTTTGCTTTTTCAGAAGTCGCGGGAACTTTTGCTTATTTCTATGTTTTCATTGGTTATTTGATAAAATAATATTTTCTTGACACCTCTTATTTCGAAGAACTTTTCATGTAGTTTTTTGATATGTAAAGTTTATTTTTTATTTCTATATCAATATGTAAATAAAATGAATTGAAAAAAACTTAATACTTTACCTCGGGAATAAGTGTAGCAAATATTTAGGGATAAGGGAATACATTAAAAAAGTGGATAAATATTTTAGGGTAACCTGGGTAAATATTTGGTCCTTGTCACGCCACCTTTTGCGCTGCCTGCACCCCGAAGCACATGGCTTTATGCGACCAAGAAAGCCTCTCCAACAGCTGTAACCCACCCATGTGGCCCCACCCAACCCTATCTTCCCAACTCATCCCGAGCCAACTCCCCCACCCATGTGCTCTTTCTTCACTAGTTTTTTTTTTCGTTTTCCGTTTAAGAATTTAAGTTCTCCTTTGAGTGATAGTTTAGTAATTTTATTCTATTTGGTTATTCAGTTTTTACTTTTCTCTATCACTATTTTTGCTTTCAATTTTTGTGGAAATTAGTTTGTTCACAAGCTAATCACTCCCAAGCACCCTATAAATGTCTGTTATGATTTTTAAGTTTTTAAAAAGTAAATTAATGTCAATAGATTTTGGGCCTGTTTGGTAATAGCATTAGCGATTAGCGTTAGCGTTTTGAAAAAGCTATCTACGGGCAGCGTTTAGCGTTAGCGTTTTCAAAGTAATCTGCACCGTTAAAATCTTATCCAAAATTGGTTTGTGGAAATTAGTTTGTTCACACGCTAATCAGTCTCAAGCACCCTATAAATGTCTGTTATGATTTTTAAATTTTTAAAAAGTAAATTAATGTCAATAGATTTTATTTCCATACTCATTCATTCTTGAATGTATGATGAAACTTGAAAGTCTAAGAAGATAATTAATACTCTTCTGTCCACCTAAGATTTTCTCATTGTGCGTCACGAGGCTTGACTTTTTATTTTCAATTTAATTTATTTGAATAAAAGAGTAAAATTTTAGTATAAAATCTATGTAGTAATAAACTACGTGAAAAGTTCTACAAAACTAGATGTGAGAACATTATATTATTTTATGAAATAAGTAGTAAAAATAAACAAACAATATAAACAAAGTTTGACCCTGTGAATAATGTCTGGGAAGATCTATGGTGGACAGAGGGAGCACATCTTAATTAATTTAATACAGAGTAGGGCATTTTATTTACAATAAGCATTAAATTAATAATTCAAATGTTGTATGTTTAATGAAGAATTGTGTTTCCACAATCCTAATATCCACATGTGATATATAAATATTTTAGTGAACCAACGTAGAGTATTTTTTTCAAATAATCCAATCATTCATGGTGTTGATTTGCAAAAATTCATAAAATGATTATGAATTTTAAAAGCATAGAAAAATTATACTCTGTATATTTCAACGAAAAAAGCACCCTATCGAATGACGCCAAAATAAATCATAATTCTAAAATTATAGCGACCTTTCATTCCAAGTCATTATTTCGATTACAAATAATACGAGTATTTATTTAAAAATAAATTAATTTTAAAATTATTATAACAGTTAAACACATACTCCATCTGTCCCAATTTAAATCGTCTATTTGCCTTTTTACTCTATCCCAAAATAAGTTACCTGATAATTATCGTAAACTTTTAAAAATAAAATACATAAACTACCTCTAAAATAAGTCACCCTTTCTCATTTTATCTTCTAATTCATAGTCATCCTTCTAAAGAATAATGATAATTTTAAAAAATCAATTTTATTTTTACTTTTTCTTAAATATGCCTAAAAGTCAAAATAAGCCATTTAAAACGAGACGGAGGAAGTAACTTGTATATTTGAATTTAAAAATAATATACAGAGAAAAATTAATAGAAGTAAAATATAGAAAAAATACCAAAATAAGATTTCTATATTTTTATTTTCTAAATAAAAGTTAGTATCACGATAATGTGATACTGTACATGTACATTTTACGTGTAATAAAATTTAGGTAAGGTACATGGTTATTATTCATAAAATTGAAGTATACTAACTTGTGGTAAGCCTACCAAACCCCCCAAAAAATTATAAACACAAAATGGTAACAAAACAATTCATTTTGAACGATGTAAATATTGGTAGTGTTTGATTGAAATCCTTTTTATCAATTTTAATTTAACCTGTAACGAAATTCATACAAGGAACAAAACAGAAAAAAGAAATTGCAGAAAGAGAACAATGCCATCATCATCATCATCATGATAATAAGATTCATAACAATAATAATGATAATTATACAAATAATACGAAGGTAAATATGAAAAACAATGGATCTGCAACTCTGTCCCTCTCAATCGCGACCGATACACCACCGTCGCCGCCGACCAATCACAGCAAGAAAAATGAAAACGATAAACAAAAAACAAACGAAGTATATAGCTAGAGTAAAAGTCCTAAGTCATCAGATCCAGAGAATGTGACAGGAAATCTGTTAGACGGCAGATCGGAGCGTTTAGAACAGCAAGGAGGCGGCGACGACCGCCGCGGCCACAGATCCACCCAGCGAGACTCTGTTAAAGGTGACGGCGCTGTTAGTTCCGGCAGTAGGTCCCGCAGCACCAGGCGCAAAGCTCGGAGATGAGGAGATCGGAGTGGTAGGGGCTGCTGGAGCCGCCCCTGCGGGAGAATCGGCGGCGGGAGGAGACGGAGGAGACATCTGCGGCGATGCGGCAATTGGAGGCGTAGCAGCCTGAGTTGGAGGAGCAACTGGAGCCGCAGATGGGACAAGAGTCGCTGGAGTCTTCGATTGCTTGGGAGAAGGCGCCGCAGACTTGGCCGGTGAGTTCGCCGGCGCCTGACCTAGGGCACAGGCAACAACCACGGCGAACAGCACGACGAAAATAGCTTTCGAGGAATTCATCTTTCCCATCTTCAATTCAAATAAAAACACTGTAATTGAGAGTAAATTGCGGAGAATTTGAATGACAATTGAATGTATGTATCTGATGAAGACGGTAAACCACTCGCCGCAGTCTGATTGAATCTGGTGGCAGTTGATGGAGAATATGGAGTATATATAGGCGGAGAAAGAGAGGAAAATATTAAAATAAAAACTCCGTATAAAATAAGAAATGGGTTTCTTTTCTTTCTTAAAAAGAATGAGTATTCTAATTTTAAAGTAAAAACTTAAAATTGGTACATATACTCCCCCGTCTCTAAATAGTTATAATTTTTTTTTCTTTTCTCTGGATAACTTTTGTTTGTTTACTTGATTTCATTAAGTATTTGATAAAATAAAATATTCTTGTCACATCTTGTTTTGTAAAACTTTTGACGTAGTTTTTTAATATGTAATTTTTATATTTTATTGATATACCAATTTGTAAATTAATATTAACGCACCAATACCAATTTGTAATTTTTGTACACTATAGGTATGCACCAACATTTTGATGGTTTATGTTCACACAAAGTGTTGGTGCGTTAATATTAATTTACACTAACACACAGTATTAGTGCGTTAACAAAAATAAGCATTATATCAAACAAAATATTGGTGCATCCATGTGATGTACAAAATTGGGTACAAATACCATTATCCAATTTAATACCATCAAAGAATAATTTAGATACCTAATTTTTAGATTAATGCTAGCGGTACACTTTTGTGCACGATCAGACTCCTTATTTATTCTTGAGTAATTTTCAAAATGGTCCTTTTGTAATAAGACGTGTTTTCAAATCAGTCATTAATTAGTTTTAATTACCTATATGGTCCTCAATAATTAAGATTTATTTCCTACATAGTCCTTTGTAAATATTGGTAATCAAATGATGATTAATTAGGCAGTATCTTCGTATTTTCTATCAGCTAAATTTAGAATAGATTCTTAAAATGATCATTTCGAATTAAGTACTTTTCCAAAATGGTTTTTCTAATTAAAGTTGTGCATTTGATTTGAATTTTAAAAGATTTTTTTATAAGTTTTTTTTAGTAATTCATGGAATATGTATAGTTAATGTATTTTTTGATTTTACATTTAATGGTTTAGAATTTATCATTTCGAGAATATACTTTAAATTTAGATGATAGAAATATCAAAATACCCTTTAGTCAATCATCATTTGAGTAACATTATTTACGAAGGACTACCTGAGAAATAAATTTCAATTATAAAGAACCATGCAGGTAATTATAACTTATTGAGGACCGAATTGGGAAAATACATTATTACAAAAGACTATTTTAGGATGGGTGTGATGGTTTTGAAATGAATGGCATAAATAAATTATGTTTTGTGATTATGAGTTGTTAAGCTTCCGCAACATTGAAAACTCCGTCATGTTTATGTTATGAAAAAATATTATTGTGATAAATAAAAGTGTTTGAAATGTTTTAAATTTTTATGATTACCAAGATAATACTTTCGTTTGAAAGGGGTTGTAGACTTGGACGGATTAGGGTGTTACACTAGCAGACGACAGAGCTCTTGATGTTACGAGCATGTGTGACATAGTGTTGAATACCCCAGTTGGTTTCTGGACTTCGAAAGATGTCAAAGGGGTTCCAGCCTCGAAGACAAGTTTGATTTCTGTCACGCAGTTGGTCGAACAAGAACACGAGGTGAAGTTCGGAGACGGGTAGTGGAAGGCCGTGAAGGGAAATCTTGTCATTGCCCGCGGAAAGAAGAGTGGTTCGCTGCACATTGGCGGATTACCGTTTGAGGGAGTGACCATCCCGGTTCAGAAGATAAAAAATGTCCGGTTCACAAAGTCTCATGGGTAAAAAAAAGGTTGTCTATGCAAGAAAGAAACCCAAAGCCACAGGCCAGGCTCAAGATGAACAAGCGAGGAAATGTTCAAGGAGACCAGCCAGAAGTATTTGTGGCAGTGTGCTTTTGCAGTAGTAGCCGATAGGGACCGAGGACGAGTCAGGTACAGATTTAGCCGTGACTGATATGTTGGAGCTTGGGAGAGCTTCAACGATCCTTTCAGTTGTCTGATGAGAGGGCCGCTACAACAGGAGAGCTGAGGAAGATAACTAGATGTACAAGCAATTGTGGCAGATGGTATATGATGATTATCAAGCCTTCAAGTGGGAGGATGTTGGATTTGTGGAGGCTAGATACGTTTGGGCCCGACTTGGGTCGACCCGTCTTATTATTAACCTATCTTTGTTTTTTAGGGAACAAGCTTTGTAGCCTTGGGTTTCATCCTATATATACGCATTTTGTACTTGTAATTCAGAGATATCACAGGTGAACAAAATTTCTCCTGTTGCAGCCTAGATTAAGGGAACCGAACCATATTAAATTCCTGTATTTTGTTCACTCTCGTTTCTCGCAAATATTTTTGTGTATTATGTGTTTAATTCCCAACAGTTTGACAGGGGCTTGACCAATTGTTTTGTTTTGTTTTATAGATAATTTTTTTTGTAAACATATACATTAAAATATTAATTTAAACAAACTTCGAATGGGAAAGAAATACATGAAAAAAAGATATAATGAGAAAAACAACAAAAAAGTACAAGAATAAAAAAATACATTGAAACACAACGGGAAAAATATAATTAGTCTTCCATGTTCCATTTAGCATGGATCTTTTCCTATGCCTTCTCAACGTCTTCTCTAGCCCGCCTGGTCAAATGATCCGTTGGAGTTCACAGCATGTGCATGTCATTGTTGAATTGTTTTTCTTATTGGAGAGAAACAAACGTCTTCATGTACGTTAATATCTCGTCCAACTTGCTATTACTCCTCGAGGACATTGGACGTTTTCCTTCGTTGTTGCGACCAAGTGGGTGACAAGGTTCAAGAGGCATGGAGTACTCCTCGTCATCTTCATCAGAGTCGTTCAAAGATATTTCAACTCTAGATGAGGAATGGCCCAAACCCATGTCGGTTGACAAATTTGTCTTTGACCATTTTGACACTTGAAGTCTCGGGACGGTATGCCACTTCGTGGATTCACACATGACTCTCCATGCCTTGATACTCGTAAATGCGCCACGCTCACGAGCGCATTCTGTCAACGCCTCGGCTAGAACTTGGGAGTCATTTTGGCCACTCTTTCACGACCTATTCACCTCGTTCCAAATACCACAAAATTTGGAAACCTTGCGCTTGCATGTCTCACCATTTACTTGAGATCATGTCATTGGTGCGGTATAGGCCGTGACCCATCGTCTCAAAAAATTGATTCCGAGCGTGAGTCCAAACTCTGACGATGTTTGATTATGGGCTATAAAAAAGAATAGACTTAAGTTGTTAGGAAAACAAGATAAAAATAGAAATAAAAATCGAAAAAAATAAAAACGAAAAATATTAAAATTTAAGAAAGATTAATCCCATACAAATATGAGGAACGACAGGGTAGGAAATTGGCACGGTTGGAACCAATTCGGGTAATTATATGTAGCATTTGTCGGTGAATTCGGGGATTTTAGATTATTTGGGTCGATTTGGGATTGATAACAATTGAAAAAAATATTTGAATACGAAAAATTTGGGCGATCCAGATCCATGATAAAAAAATTGAATAGAAGATGAATGAAAAAGAGAAGAAGAGATGAAGATGATGTGTGGAGATGGTGGGATTTTTAACGATCGGTGTAGGAAACAAGACGGGCAACACATGTGGTAGCCTTCAAGGCCTCTCTGAAATGATTCTGTCACGCCTCGGGTGTCGCCATGGTCATGGCGTAGGGGGGGACGTTACCAGCCAATCCACGGCGGTGGGAATACCCATAACACATGGTCTTAAGTTACTTGGAATGATGTCTATTAAACACAGCTTAAAATATTTTGCTTTTAAATTACTCTTATAATATAATGAGATGCCCATATGGCTTACATAGCACATCTTAGCATTCATCTTTGAGTCAAATTCTGTATTTTGTTAATATTAGATAACATTTAATACGTAAATGTTAATGACACAAGAAAGGAGACATGTAAGAGAGGCTAGAACAATATGAGCTTGTCATGTTCAAGTTTATAAATTAACCAAACTTTAGTCTCAGTATCTAAATTTTATCTAAATTACTTCTTCATTCTAGTTTGAGACTCTAACTATCAAATTTTAGACTCGAGACTGCAGTATCTAGTTATTAGACTTTAGACTTGAGATACTAATTAAAATTTAAGGGCTAATAGCATGGGTTCCTCTTATGGTTTATAAAAGCAGCGTCAAAACCTTCTCTATTTTTGAAAGTTATTTGTAAAACTCCCATGATTTTTAAATAGTGCATGGACGTCCCCTCTTACTTATTTTTAGAGTTAAAAGAACATTTATGTCCTTTGTTTTCCTCCATATTCAAGTTCCTCTCTTTTATTTTCATTTTTCCTTTATTATACAAATAAATAAAATAAAATCTCTATCTCAAATAAAAAAGTTCCATTTATTTATTTTTCAAAACAAAATAATATTTTTAGAAAGCGTTACAAAAGAAAATTAAAAATTTAAAAAATAAATATACTTTTTTATTATAAGTAAAAGTAAAATAAATAAAATAAAAAATAGATGACGTATACTCATTCTATCCAAATTAAATGTTTTAACTTATTTGATTTTAAAAAGTTTTTTGGGACATTAAAAATGAAGAATAGAGAGATGAAATAAAATACGGAGTAAAAGAAAAAGGTTGTTTTTAATTTTTTCTTTCTTTTCATTACATTTTTCAATTATTTTTTTCTTTTATTTCATTTTCTTTTGTAACATTCTCTAAATAAATTTTTCTTTCAAAAATACATAAATGCAAATTTTTAATTTGAGATGAGTCTATTTTATTTTATTTATTTGTGTAATATAGGAAAATAAAAAGTTGAAATTGAGGATAGAGGAAAAAAGGGGCTGATGGGCCGATATCCAATGGGCGGCCCAAATGAACCATTTCAACAACTTGGGTCAAGCGTTTGGAGGATATCCAGGCTTGGGCCGGCCCATGGAGTTAAGCCCGGCCAATTCCAGTCCAAGAACAATTGGCAGAGTCAACTCAGAGAAGGAAACGGAACGGAATGACGGAGATGTAGCCGGAAAAAGAGGATC